TGGTTTTTTTTTTTTGGTGCGTTTCCAGTCCCACAATTCAAGTCTTTTGGAAAATTTTCTAAACACTTAAAGTAAAACTCTTGAGTCTTTTTTTCCCCCAAATTAATGGATTAATGAATAATGATTAAGACAAACATTACATCTTTATTTTGTCATTGCGTGAACAAATACAAAGATCAAATATTTGAATCTCTTCCAGAAGTCTAATTTTTTTTTTAAAAATCTAAAAGAAAAAAACGTTGAAAGTATGGCGTATTGGTCCTGCTATTCGGAAATGTGATGTGATGCACACAGACACAGAAGGGCCGCACACATAAGCTAATAGTGAATTCTTGACATGAGGGAAGCATTTCGTGTTCTTTAAACACCGCACATTTTCGATATATCCTAGACTTGGCAAAGCGCTTGCTCCTATAACTCCACACACATGAGAACTATCTACCAGAAGGGGCGTTAACAAACCGTTATCTACAGAAATATTGGTGTACGAAAGCAAGAATGAAACAAAGTTGTGTGTTGTAAAAGTATTCAACTTAATTCAATTAACAGATGTGTCGGGAATTGAGACTCAAGGTCTACGTCTGAAGAGCAGTGAAGAGAACTGTGACTCAAAGTGTTTGTCTGAAGAGCAGCGAAGCGAGCTGTTACTCAAAGTTTTGGTCTGAAGAGCAGCGAAGCGAGCTGTTACTCAAAGTTTTGGTCTGAAGAGCAGCGAAGCGAGCTGTTACTCAAAGTTTTGGTCTGAAGAGCAGCGAAGCGAACTGTTACTCAAAGTTTTGGTCTGAAGAGCAGCGAAGCGAGCTGTTACTCAAAGTTTTGGTCTGAAGAGCAGCGAAGCGAAGAGTGGCTCAAAACATTGGTCTGAAGAGCAGCGAAGAAAGCAGCGACCCATGCTCCTTATGAAAGCATTAACGTATACACAAAAAAAAAAGAAAAAAAAAAAAAAAGCAAAGACCCAAGGGTTATTCCTGTGATGTGAATCGTTCCCTCTGTTCTGCAACACTGAGAAAAAGTTTGAGAGGCCAAATTTGGAGGATTTGAAACGGTACGACTCTTAGAATAGGGCGTTGGCATTTAACCCTTGACACCAGATGACACACCGAGTGACGTTATCGAGCAAACATTTCATTTCAACGTGAGTTGCTTCTTACTGTCATCACTAGAAGAGCCTTTATATTTAAAACCCCCGTTTACTCTGATGTTTTCATGTATCATTGAGAAGATCTCATCGATCAACGTCTTGCCATTTCATAGTTCATGCAAAACACTGGCCTGCTTTAAGATGAAGTATACCACAAAGCTTTTCTCTCAACGCGATACAAAAATAAAAGAAGTTTGATCAAATCAGGTCTCCGCACAAATGAATTTGTTTAACAAATCCGATCTTTTCACAAGAGACTTGTTTAAAACAACAGATCTATTCACAAAAGACTCGTTTAACAAATCCGATCTTTTCACATGAGACTTGTTAAAACAACAGATCTATTCACAAAAGACTTGTATTTTTCGCATGGTGTTCAGACTCGTTTTTTTTTTTCATTTGAAACACCATTTATCCGCAATAAACAAAAGAACTTCACATATTTACATTGAGTCAATGTGTTAGAACAATAAATATTGCACTCTGACATAGCAATGTGACACAATATTATAGCAATGTAAATATTATAGCAATGTTACACAATATTATAGCAATGTCAATAGTATAGCAATGTAACACCCCAACAAAGGAATAAAGGAATATTACACACTAACATAGCAATGTTACACATTAACGTAGAAATGTTACACACTAAACATATTTTCAACCTATTCCAGATGTAAGTAATTTTTTTTCTCTTCGCACTCTTAATTTCCACATAACTACATCCCCCCCCCCCCCACAACACACAACATCCTCTCCAACGCACAACACATTATCCAACACGTTAATAAAAAAAAAACGTGTGTTATAAAACTATAATTGATTATCACCAACACTTATCATGATACTCTTTGATATTCCCCCCCACCCACCCCGACTCCAACCCAAGACAATGCTGAAGGCGGTCATGTATCTTTTCCAGGCAGACCGGAAGCACGATACCACCGACCACCAACCTGCAGGTGGACACCAGAATGACAACGTGATCTATGGAATGATTCGTGTAGGGGTAAAGCAGAGATCGTGGTCACAGAACGAAATAAACAGCATAGTTCATCACATGCATTGTGTGTAAGACATGTCTCCACGAACAGCGATTGTTCCTGTCCGTAGTTTGAGGTTGCCCCTATTCCTATAGCCCACGGCTGCTTTGAAAATAACAAACTCCGTGGGCAAGCGTCTCTCAGAGGAATAAATCTCTTCTGTTTCTCCTTAGTCATACCCTCAGGGTGTCGTCGTGTGTCGTCGTGGTCACGGTACGGGGCGCGTGCTCCCTGAGAATGAGCAGCTCCGAGTTTGACGTCACCATCGCCCTCCTCCGCTCGCAGATCGGCCTGATGTAGATGCTGAAGAACTTCTCCCGGAACTGCTGGCTCATGACGCAGTACAGCACGAAGTTGATGGCGTTGTTCACCAGGGACACGAAGTCGATCAGGTCGCTGATGGGGTAGTAGACGTGGTGGTAGAAGTCGGGCACCAGGGCGCTGAGGACCGTCAGAACGCCCTGGGGGAGCTCGGTGAAGATGAACATCACCAGCACCACGAGCAGCATCCGGGTCGTTTTGATCTGCTGGCACGACGCCGAGAGCCTCTGCCGTCGCCGGGCGGCCTTGATCCCCATGTGATACAGGAGGGAACCGCTGAAGATTAGGATGAGGATGCACGGCAGGATCTTGGCCAGGAAGGCGTAGGTGAGCACGTTGATCAATATATTCCAATCGACTTCCGGCGAGCCGAGATTGACTTCTTTGAGCCCGAACGCCGAGACGTTGATGTTCTTGTTGATGGAGATCTTCACGATCTCGTTGGAGAGGTAGTTCGGGATCATGACGACGACCGAGGAGATATAGATGATCGCCGCCGCCATTTTCACCTGACGGATGCGCCTCTCCTTCGCGAGGGGACCGCGGGGGCACGTCGAGCGGATCTGGTTGAAGCGGAAGGCGGCGAGCGCCACGGCCAGCCAAATGGAGATGGTGTGGGTGGTGGCCAGGAGGTTGACGATGACGAGCATGTATACGATCCAACTGTAGGAAAAATTCCACGGGTGGTTGGAGGGGTCGGTCGGGGGGCAATAGAAGTGGATGAGGTACGGGATGTACGGCAGCATGGTCAGAATGTCCGAGACGGCGATGAACGTGAGCAGGTGGTTCGTGGCGGTCCTCATGTCCTTCGCCATGAGCACCGTGATGTTCAGGACGTTGGTGAGGATCCCGAACACGCAGACGATGATGCTGGCGTAGCCGTGGAACTCGAGGAAGAATTCGTAGAACTCGTGGAGCGCCGAGTAAGGCGGCATGAACGAAACGTCGTCCCAGTCGGCCAGCCTGGACTGATTGCCCCTCGTTTTTGTGACGGCCTCCGTCAGGATGCGGAGGCTGAACATCGAATCCATTTCGACGTTGTCGTCGTCAAAGTTGACGGCGACTTCCGCCTCTGTAGTGGTGGTGGTGGTGGTGGACGAATTGATCATAACGGCCGCGGGGGTTGGACTTTGTGTTTGAGATTCCCCTCCCAAGCAAGCGGTTGGACCCGGCCAATCACTTCGGCTCCGAGCTAACACGTGTCGTCTGTTGCGTCATGAATGCTGGAAGTGTAAGGATAAGAGAAGAGGTTAGTGACATGGTACGTGACATAGTGTTGACATGGTACGTGACATAGTGTTGACATGGCACAGAAATGTGACATTGTGTTGACATGGCACAGTAATGTGACATTGTGTTGACATGGCACAGTAATGTGAGATTGTGTTGACATGGTCCAGTAACGTGAGATTGTGTTGACATGGCACAGGAATATGACATTGTGTTGACATAGCACAGTAATGTGAGATTGTGTTGACATGGCACAGGAATATGACATTGTGTTGACATGGCACAGTAATGTGAGATTGGGTTGACATGGCACAGTAATGTGAGATTGGGTTGATTTAGAACAATTATGTGAGATTTTGTGTCTATATTACATAATTTAAATATTTCTCTCAAAATGTACATGTATTTATAGACATGATGATATTCATATGACGGACATGATGATACTCATATGACGGACATGATGATACTCATATGACGGACATGATGATACTCATAAGATTGTATTTGGATCCTTTAATACGTTTGTGGCGCGCGCAGTTAATGTTGCTTATCATCGTTCCCATGGTAATTAGACATAACACCAGTAAGTGTAAGCGTGCAATGTTGTAACCATGGCTACCTTTTTTTTATTCTGGGGTGGGGAGATAGTTGGTGGACATTACTGCATTTTGATCTCCTTTATACCAGTGGCTAATAAAATGTGTGTATCTATATATATATATATATATATTTGTATATATATATATATATATATATATATATATATAGATATAGATGTATATATATATATATATATATATATATACAGAGAGAGAGAGAGAGAGAGAGAGAGAGAGAGAGGAGAGACAGATAGTTAGAGAAAGGATGTCAAAAAGAGAGATTGTGACAGAGAGAAAGAAGAAAGAGAGAGGGGAGAGAGAGAGAGATAATCAAATTGTAAAATTTCAATACACAAAGTCACCAAATAATGATATTGTAAAACCAGCCTACCCATGCACATGGAAGCAAAAAGCACCCACACTTACATAGTCCCCACACTTACATAGTCCCCACACTTACATAGTCCCCACACTTACATAGTCCCCACACTTACATAGTCCCCACACTTACATAGTCCCCACACTTACATAGTCCCCACACTTAGAGAGAGAGAGATAATAAAAATGTAAAATATAAATACACAAAGACACCAAATAATGATATAGTAAAACCAGCCTACCCATGCACATAGAAGCAAAAAGCACCCACACTTACATAGTCCCCACACTTACATAGTCCCCACACTTACATAGTCCCCACACTTACATAGTCCCCACACTTACATAGTCCGCACACTTACATAGTCCCCACACTTACATAGTCCCCACACTTACATAGTCCCCACACTCACATAGTCCCCACACTTACATAGTCCCCACACTCACATAGTCCCCACACTTACATAGTCCCAAAACTTACATAGTCCCCCACACTTACATAGTCCCCACACAAGCATTCAGCAGAAATCAAGCGCGTTGAGAACGCCCTCCGCCTTCAGTGCATGTTGATGATTGGCTTAACTCTAACACTTGGTCTTTACGCCGATGTATTTTCCAGTTTCTTCTAACCTATAATGGCTTGGGGGGGGGGGGCGGGGGTTGTTTGGTTTTGTGAAAAAAAAAGGGGGGGGGGGAAATGAGTTTTCTTGAAAGCGATAACTTTTCATACGTAATTGATTTGTCTCCGTCAAAAAAATTGGAAGGCATCTATTTTATTTAATTTAATTTTCTTTTTTTTTTATATCCAGCCGAGAAGACACAATTGTTACAATGACCGGTTTCAACATGTTCCAGAGAAAAGTGTCTAACCTATAATGGCTTGGGGGGGGGGCGGGGGTTGTTTGGTTTTGTGAAAAAAAAAGGGGGGGTGAGAAATGAGTTTTCTTGAAAGCGATAACTTTTCATACGTAATCGATTTGTCTCCGTCAAGAAAATTGGAAGGCATCTATTTTATTTATTTTAATTTTCTTTTTTTTTTATATCCAGCCGAGAAGACACAATTGTTACAATGACCGGTTTCAACATGTTCCAGAGAAAAGTGTCAATTTAAAATGACGAGCAATTTGGTGTCATTCCTGTTGGAAAAATGACACTTGTCAGGTTCGCTGGGTCAAACGTTTATTGATTGGGTCTTTATTCTCCATGATTTTGACTAGCGGTATCATGCTCAGATCTATGGCGGACATGTCCGCCACGTTTTGAGATTCTGTCCCGTCAACGGCACTAAAATGTACATTACGCCATCCAGACAGCGTGTGGACATTGAGTCACGTGGACTTTGTTGTGGTCGCGTCTGGATGGACGGGGATAGAACGATGGTTTCCCTAATAATATCGTAATTTCCGTCCGCCTCCTCCCCCCCCCCCATTTATTGTCTCTTAAGAGGATTAGGTTTTTTTGTTGTTTTTTTTTATAAGTTCCACACTCCCCCCCTCCTCCACCCCCGCCCCCCCCCTTAAACCCTTTTGGCCAAAACCGAAAACCAACCGAAAGTTATCTAATCTGTTTCGGCCGAAACCGAAACTACGTCGAAAATGATGAAATGGCAACTTTCGACATCGACATCGGACCCGAACCCGAATTTCAGGTGGCCTCCACTCAATGCCAAACAATTACTAGAATTGTATCCTATACCCGAAATAATATGTTTGTAATTCTCCAATTATCAGCGTCGGTCGGGGTAGGGGGGTGGGGACGGCTGCTCACCTGACAGCGCATTTTTTCTGCAATAGTTGGGACTTTTTCAGGAATAGATTGATTCATTTGTAATCTGTATTATGTAACAAGTCAAACAGCACTGTCGACTGTCGTTAAAAATAGGCATGACGTAAAAGGCTCGTTCCATCATCTTGTGTAACAAGACCTCTATGCATTGTAAACCTGATTCCTAATTGTGCGTGTGAAAAAAAAAATTATACAAAAAAATTTGAAGGAAAAATAACTGAAAAATCTAAATAATGATTTAAAGCCAGAAATGATTATTTGATTATGCAGTAAACATCTTTTTTTTTTTTTTTGGTTTTGCCATAAGTCATTATTCTCTTCTTCAAATAACTTTAACCAGATACGTCCTATTTCATCGACTGTGTCAGGAATCGCTGAAGTAGATTAAAATAAATCAAACTCTAATTGAACCGTGGCGAGGCCACCGAGTTCGCCCTGGAACCACTGACAACACCCCATTCATTTAACACTGTTGACGTCATACAGTCCAGCCCCAGGGGTAATATTACACTCGCCTCAGCTTGGTATTGCTTTGTTCCAGTTTTCTTGAGCGCACGTGCACTGACCTTGCCGATCTGTGACGATGGGGACACATGTACACTGACCTGAACGATGTGGGACAATGGGGACACACGTGCACTGAACTGACCGATCTGGGACAATGGGGACACACGTGTACTGACCTGACCGATCTTGGACAATGGGGACACACGTGCACTGACCTGACCGATCTGGGACAATGGGGACACACGTGCACTGACCTGACCGATCTGGGACGATGGGGACACACGTGCACTGACCTGACCGATCTGTGACGATGTTCACATGTGCACCGACCTGGCCGATCTGGGACGATGCGACCTAAAAACTACTCACAACTAGGGCTGCCGAAAATGAGATATACTTTCTGAGGGAAACTCAAGACCCACAAACAATGGGCACACTCTACAACCAACCACTTCAGTGTCTTGCATATGCTGATGATATAGCACTGCTAGGGAAAAGTATTAAAGACATATCAAAATCCTTTATTGAATTAGAAGAATCATCACTAAGAGCAGGGCTGGAAGTTAACAACCAAAAAACAAAATACATGACCATGATAAGAGATGAACAAACACATAATACAATTAAAATTAGAAACCAAACTTTTGAAAAAGTAAATCAATTCAAATACATAGGAACTTTGTTAAATGAAGAAATGAATTACTAACAGAAATAAAAGAACGAATATCAGCCCGAAACAGGGCATACTTCACTAGCAAGAAAATACTCTACAAGAGAAACAAAGAAAACTATTTATAAAACTGTAATCAGACCAGTTGTAATATATGCAAGTTAAACTTGGGCCCTAACAAAAACAGCAGAAAACCTATTCAACACATGGGAGAGGAAAGTTCTTAGGAAAATATATGGACCAACAAAAGATGAATATGGATGAAGAATACGAACCAACAATGAATTGTACAGTCTATATCAGGATCCCACGATAGTAGCAGAAATAAAAAGAGGCAGGCTACGCTGGGCAGGACACTTAGAGAGAATGCCAAATGACAGATGAACGAAGAGGGTGCATCACCAATACCGCAGAGGAAAAAGTCTCAAAGGCAGACCTAGGATGGATGATGTGGAAAAAGATCTACAACAGCTGAAAGTCCAGGTACTGAAAAGAAAGGCATTGATTAGTCTGAGTGGAAGGAAGTGGTGAGGCAGGCCAAAGCCCTACATGGGCTGTAGCGCCACAGGGATGGATGGAAAATGAGATAATTTTTGTTATTCTTTTGTTTTTATGCCTTAGTGTATTTCTGTCTGTGTGTGTGTATGTGTGTGTGTGTGTGTATGTATGTGTATATGTGTGTGTGTGTGTATATGTGTGTGTGTATGTGTGTGTGTGTGTCTTCGTGTGCGCGTGTGTGTCGTTTGTGTGTACATCCCTCTTAAGT